TAGCGGGTAGTGAGAAATTGCATTGTGCATCACTGGTATATTCCAATCCTTTTATTATTACCATTGTCATTTTATTATTGCTATTATTATCATTATTAGTTTCTTTTTTTCTGTTCTATTAAACTGCTCTTGTCTCAACCCATGAGTTTTACTTCTTTTTTCCAATTCTCTCCCCCATCCCACTGGGTGGGGGAGGGGGAGTGAGTGAGCAGGCGTGTGGTGCTTAGTTGCTGGCTGGGGTTAAATCACAACAGGGTGGGAACAAAGCAGCAAATAGTACACTATTGCATTCTTGGTTTTGGGCTTCATGTTTTAACAGAGGGTAGAACCCCCAGCTCTATGTATACTTAGAGTTGAAAGTAAATGTGAGGACAGAAAGCAAGTTTGAAATTCATTTTTGATTCTTCTGTTCTCTTCTACTTGCCAACTTCTTTTGCTATGTTGGCAAATACTCTTGTTTCTTGAGTTGCACATTTACAGTCTTCATTAAGAGACTATACTGTGAATCATTACCAAGGAAAAGTATCCATTCTCCTCACCACAGCCTGGCTGCATCCCAAGTGCTCCATATTGAGTGAAGTATTGAGTCAAGTGCAATAATAGTGGGATAAACTATTTGCTCTCTATAAAATGCATTCAGCACATCTCAACTCAGCAATGTTGGATATAAGTGAAGATATTTTTGTTATTATGTTCTACTAAAAGAGGTGGAGTGACTTCGTTTTCACAAGGGACTCAGATTTGACTTAGCCCTGGTGGATCAGAGGTGGTTCCTGGCTCCTGTGGGAGCCAGTAGTTGTACTCATTATTCTTAACAGTCAGTGATGACTTAATTGAATACAATCTATTTGACAATTAATGAGGATGAAGAAGGTTTAGCAAGATTTGGTGGATGGAAGGAAAGAAAGTTTGTAAAGCACCAGATTGACAGTTTGGAGCTATATACTCACTGAAAAAACAGCTTATTTTCCCCTTTCCTTCATATTTTCTACTTTGCTGGCTCTGTTGCCATATGCTATGAGAACTCCTCATAATCTGTGACATTTCTTCAAAGTCTGATACAGGTATTAGTAAAGCCTACAGAACAAAATTCTATTTTTGCAGAGCCATGCAGTACCTAAGACCTCTTTTCCTCCTCATTCTGTATAGACTTTCCTTACAGAACCTAAGGTGCATTCTACATAAAACTGGAAGAGAGCATGTATCTTCAGACAGTAAGCCGGATTCTAGTCGTAGCAGTACCAATATAAACTGTACATAGGAACAGCTTCTCTGCATTCATACATTAGAGTAGAATTTGGTCACCAGCAACTGGAAACTAGGACAGCCTAAGACAGAATCTTATCAGGTGTCACCTACAAAATGTTGCTATTGGGTATATTTTCTGTATTTCATGTTTTACCAGACAAAATCTATTGTTTACTTTTGCATCTAGTAATGCCACAAATAATTTTGATTCTTTACTGATTACCAACTTATAGAAGGCTGTTGCAACACAGGCAAAAGCCACTGTAAGCTGACTTGTCCTGCTTAATTTAACTAGGCAAGTAGGGGCATATGAAGTACTACACCGGAGGATCACTTGTGCACTTACATGTTCTGGAAGGGACATCTCCTTCTATGTATACTACCACCAATGACATAGGAACAGAAACTGTCCTTTAAACTTTCTAGGGGGTAATCTCTAATTTTTCCAGGGACCCTCCATATCTACTTTAGTACTGTGGCAATCATTATCAGGCTAGTAGAACTCAATCGGTCTTCATTAGCTCTAGATACGTGTAAGTCACCAACATTTGTCTGTAAACAGACTGCTTAGCAAAGTGTTTATTGATATATTCTAATGCATCAGAATAATAACCTTTGAAACAACATTACTATTATATGTACAGATTTCTTGAACTGTTACAAAGGCTGTCCAGTGATACTTTGTTTTGTTCCCAATGGATATTTAGGAAGACACCCTCAGGAATTAGAGAGCAGAACAACTATCAGAGAAAAACACTAAAATGCTACAAAAGTTTCTGTTGTCTATGCTGATTCTGCATCTATGCCTACACTTGCCAGCACAGTATTTTCACACTAGTCAAGCCTGTCCACTTACTGTGCACAGCCTCAAATATATTTAACACTTGGAAAGTAGATATGAATTTGAACATTTTGTACTTGGTCACAAAAAAAAGTCTAAGAAGAGATACTACTATCAAGAAACTTGGCCTTACCTAAGTATTTAGCAGCCCTTTCTCTAACAATCTGTCATCCAAGGAGTGGCAAGGTCCAGTGTCTTCCTAATGGACAGAGAGCCAAGTCAGGTAGCCAGGCTGGCAGGGCAGAAGTCACACCAGCCACAGCCCTGTGCCACTGTTCCTAGGCAAGATATGCAGGGGGCTAGAGACGACAGCCAGGGAATGCAGAGAGCTCAGGCAAAGCTGCAATAACTAGGCAGGTGCAAGGTCAAGCCAAAAAAAATCAGTCCACGGGCCAACAAACCTTATAGCTAGATACAACCATAACAGAGCTCAAAGAGAAGCTGAGGGCCAGGCCAGAGCTTAAATGGAGTTCCTGCACTTCTGGGCAGAGGCGTGGGTGGAAGCCCCAGCTGAGGCTGGTCAAGGTCATTAAGGCATACTAGTGCACTCAGAGCCCTAACAACATTTTGGAACCAATACTAACAGACTGCTTGCACATGGCTACAATCAGTTAGCAGATACCTAAGGAAAAAGATAGCAAAAAGTTCAGTTGACTTTTTCCTGGTTTTCATTGTACTGCTGTATTGCTGTATTTTCTTCACTTAATTTCACCAGCTCAAGATCAAGGCCTGATTAAGATACTTGAAAAAAGTCCACACATTTTAATTTTTGTTTGATTTATTCCAACTTTGTGGAATCTGCTAATACTGTCTAAATCTCCCATATCTACGTTTTCCTGCAAAAGGACTATTTCTAGAAAAGCTTTTACTGTGCTTTAGTCTGGGATATGTACCTTTTCCCACAATTTTTCCTGATACCCTCCATAGCTCTTAATCCTGAAACATTCCTGATATCTTTATACTTGAAACAGTAGGAAAAGATGGCACAGGCTTATCTCTGCAGCAATTCCTCAGCTACACTTGTGGTCTAAGCAGGACAAACTACAATCTTAATCAAAGAAAAAGTCAGAAAAAATGTCAGAAAGAAAAGAATCAGTAACAGACTTCTGTTATGCTCTTAAGTTGCCACCTTCTGTTCTTGCATAGGGAGAGTAGGTGAAGAATACAAAGGATAAAACTAGCTCAGACTATTTTTGAACTATTTCTTTCAGCTGTTTTTGTTTGCACTATTACAAAGCCTTGGCAGGCAAGGAAAATATTCTTAGAATAGCAGATTTCTTGCTTTGTTCTGCATCTGTTCCAAAACCATACAATTGTATTTGAACAGCTGGCCAGTAACATGCAACTATCAAACATGGCACTGACATACTATCACAGTGTTCTTCGTAGACGACTGAGGTTTCAAAGCTGAAGTAAACATTCAAATGTACACATCTTGATCTTAGAGGTACATATTCAGATTTAAATCATACCTTTTATTTTTCTTGAATTCAGCTTTCTATTGGCAATGAAGAGCAGACAAGTAAGTACTCATTATATCAAAATAAGAAACTGGAACTGCTCTGCAGAAAAGAATTTCCTGGTGCTGTTTCTAGAACTAGAACCAGAGGAGCTCAGTCTGGCCATATGTCATTACCATGCTGCATGTAGTTTTAGAGTTTTGAAATTGTATTTTGTTTTTTATACAACTGTGTAAAGAAGTTCAGAAGAAAAAAAAAACCATCCACTTGATGAGCACCCGTATCTCCTTCTATGTCCTCATCTACTTTGTAACTTTGTATCCAGGGGCATACATAACCCAATTCTAAAATCTCCAGCTACAATCTTGGGGCCAACTATGTTGTTCTCCTATGTTACCTGCCTCCTGATCTATAAAGTGAAGCTTGAATTTATGCCTACAACCTTCATGAAAACTATCTTTACATTTAAAGAACTCTAAGAGCATGTCAAGGCTATTTTTCTGGGTAGGAAATAACATAGACCTAAGCTAAGCTCTTAAGTGAAGATTCTGGTAACTGCTGCAACAAACACCATAATTAACAGTTCTATTGATGTTCAGAGATTTTTATGCTCATATGGAATGAGATCTGTACAGCATCTGCTCTCCAAAATGTAAGTGAAAAAGAAAAGGGTAAATTAATTAGCTACTGGAGAAAACTGACAACTATCCCAGTACGCATCGCTACTAAAGTAGGGCTAAAGCAACTTACTTATTGAACAATTATTTATTACAAAATGTAATTAGCGTAAGGCTTTGCAGACTGCTTCACACATTTGTTTTGATGCAGGTTCCCTTTCCGTTCTTCCTTCTGCTCAGGCAACATCAGCTTTCAACCGAAACACTGTAGCACTGGGAGGGCTGACAGCCACCCCAGCCTAACCCAAAAGCTAAAACCGCCCACAAACTACCAACAAAACAAAAATAAAGAGCAGACACTAGCTTATTTTCATCAGGTGAACAAATTGCAAAAAGAGCCAGACAGAACAGGCGGAGTACTGGCATGGCAGCAGGCTGGAGTGTTCGCATCACTGCAGCTGTCACGCATCTTCCTAAATCTGGGATTTTTTTCGCCACCCCGACCCCCCGCACGGGTTTGTAAAAACGCCGGGCCGCAGTAGGCTTCTCCTGACAGCTCCTTCCCCGCCCTCTCCGGGCAGGACCACCGGGCCGCCCACGAAGCGCGGCAAGGCACATGTCAAAAAAATAAAGCCAAAGAAGAAAGTATCTTTTCTACGCGGAGCTGCCGGGGGAGCAGCCCTAGCCCTTTAAGCTGCCCACCCTCGCCGGCAAGGCCGCGGCGGCAGCTGGCGGCTATTTATACGCGGGCGGCGGCGAGCGCCGGGCGCCTTGCGGGGGGCGGTCCCGGTAGCGGCGGCGGGGCCTGGGCCCGGACCCGGACCGGAGGCTGCCATGGACACGGTTTTCACCTCCACGCCGGCGGGCGGGAGCCGCTCCCTCAGCCGCTCCTCCGCCGACTCGCCGCTAAGCCCGATGCGGCTGAGCCGGCTGCAGGAGAAGGAGGAGCTGCGGGAGCTCAACGACCGCCTGGCCGCCTACATCGAGCGGGCGCGGGCGCTGGAGACCGACAAGTCGGCGCTGCAGCAGCGGCTGGCCGAGCAGGAGGCGGGTAGCCACCGGGAGCTGGACAGCCTGCGGCTCTGCTACGAGGCGGAGCTGGCCGACGCCCGCCGGGCGCTGGACAACATCGCCATGGAGCGGGCCAAGCTGCAGGTGGAGCTCGGCAATATCGGCGAGGAGCACCGGCAGCTGCACAGCAGGTCGGTGCGCCGGCCCTCCCGCCCCGCCTGCCTGGCCCCGAGCGGGCCTCCCCGCTGGGACTCCCCCTGCGGCTGCCTCCGCCTCGGGGCTGTTGCAGGGTGAGGGGAAGGGGCTGCTGCTCGCCGGCAGCTGCGTGTTGGGGCGGGAGTGCTCGGTGCTGCAGGGTGGCTGGGTCACGGCAGCGGTGACGCCCCAAAGGCAGGGCCCTGTGGGGTTGGAGGGCCTTCGGTTAGGAGAAACCCTCATGTCCGTCCTGAAGATGCGCTGCAGGGACTCCGCTGGGAGTGCCTCCTGCTGTAGTGCTGCTGGGCCGCTCCAGCACCTCCCTGTGATGGGCATGGGGCTCCTCCAGAATTTGGGGTGTTGGGTAGCCTTATGGGGACAGTATTGCGAGAACGTGTAGCTGCCTGGGTTTGGCTCTACACCTGTGTATATAAACACTCAAGAAGCTGCCATGCTGGCAAAGCATCTAGAAAGTTACGGGGGTAGGGGGAGGAGTTTCTGTGTGGAGTCAGCTTGCATCTTTTGGGGGCTTTTTAGCTTGGACATTGCCTTGAGGGGAATACACAGAGAAGGTAGGCCTGTAAGCACTGTAGCTTGCCTGGTCCAGGCTGGTACTGCACAGAAATTGTCCTAGTGGCTTTTAGGTCTTGATTTACATGCTACTGGGATGAACTGCTTGCTGTTTCAGGTTTGACTTTCTTGCAAGCTGTGTATCCTGAGCATGGAATCATCTTGTTGTCTAGTCTTGCCAAGCCTGGAACAAAGGGGTTGCCCAATGTAAGTGCAATTAAATACTCCTGAAGGTGAGAAGAAGTGTTGAATGCCAACAATCTTCCTTCATGGATACATACAGAGTGCTAGCATTGCTCGTCGCTTTAATGTGCCACTGTACTGCTAAATCAATTACAGACTTAAAACAATTTGCGTGTCCACAGGGCCCCAATATCTTGTTATAAACTTGCATCATAGCAACTTTAGGCACCAGCTTTTTCTTTTAACACTTGTATGGAGCAAATACTGCCCCCTCACAGGCTCAGTAGGACTTAAGTAGCTGTTCTGCTTGGGAATAAAATATGTTTTTACTCTAAGCTTCTGTTTTCAGCTGCTTGGAAGTTCTTGGGCTTGTCTCATTCATGCTGGGTTTTGGCTCATAGATCTGTTTCGTAAATCTAACCAGCCACTTGAGTGGACAGTAAGGAGAGGGGTAATGCCAGTTCTAAAACTTTTCTGCTGCTCTTTGTGTTTGTATAACTCTTGTGGCTTTGTTTATAAAGCTTTAGGCTTGGCAGGTATGCAATCCTCTGGACTGATTTTTTTTTTTTCTTTCAAGTAACTAGGTCTTAGAAGTGGTTAACTTTACAGCCCATGGGAAATAATACGTAGTACATGCTGCTTTCTGAAAGGACTAGACTGAAGTACTAATATTAATGAGTGTTTTGTATCTGGGCTGCCTAACTGCAAATGTCTCAGATGACTTGGAACAAACTACTTTGAGGGTATCGTGCCCTTTATATGTATACCCTTTAAATAACCTGGAACTCTTATAGGATGGAATGTTACCAGATAATTTCCCAACAGCATTAACCATTGGCTCTTACTAATCGCTGGTAAAGAGACTTAAAGCTTCAGCAACAGTGAGGTGTGCTTGCATTTCAGCTTTTTTCATACTATTCACAGTGGTAATTGGAAGTAGGCCAAAGATGTTTGCGGAGGAGAAGTTGTGGATAAGCATATCAGTTGGTTGAATTCAGAGCCTGAGGAAGGTCAAAGCAACTACAGTAGCACAGCAGAGAAAGACAAGACCAGTTTCTTTCTGCACCAGTGAGTATAGATGTGCATTTTGTTACTGAACCTGACATATGTGGTGTAGCAAGCTGAAGCTGTAAGAATGAATTCTGCAAGTGCTGTTAATGTCCTCTTGTCCTGACAAATGAGTCTGTTTCAAACATACCTGAACTCTTTTGGTAAAAATATTTAAATTCTCCAGGTCAAGCATATATGAAACCCTGAATTACAAGGAATGTGACTGGCAGTGCCTCAAAGTTATTGCTTGCAATTGATAGTCAATAAGCTGTGTTTAGTTCTGGAATAGTTGGTATATAGAATGTTGTAGAGTACTGTAACTGTCACTGCTTGCTGCATAATAATGTGGTGTTCTGAACATAAGACTTGGTTTAAAAGGGTAGTAAATGATCTTGTCAAAGCCAGGCTTGTTTAATTGCTGTTCTTAAGGATGAAAAGACTCGCTTCAGGGTTCTCTGAAAATAATGTTTGTAAGGAAGGAATATAGGAAACCTGAACCTGGCTGTCAGAGGCCTGCATCAGGAAAGTGGACTCTTAAAACACCGATACTGATGGAATTTCAGTCTTGCACATGCTTTGATTGCAGCATGAAATTTACATTATTGTAGGATGAAACAGTCAATGTTATTGTTAAGTGGTGTTACTGATGTACTTGTTAACATCACAACTAATACTCATAATAAGTGGTAGTGGTAGCAGAGATACCAAAAGGAAGGTGGCTAATTAATACCTAGAAAAGAAAGAAACCTGTAAATGCTAAAAAAACCTACAACACATTATCCTGTTTTTCGTTGTTACCCCAGTAAAGCTACTTTTTTCCTAGAGTCTGAGTAAAGAAGAAATAACCTCTGCTAGCAAAACATTTGGGTTTGTGTCATGATCATGAAATATGAGGACACAATCAACAAATGTCTCTGAATAGCAGGGCTAGAAAAGACCTTGAGCAAGAACCTGATGTAGCCACATGCCCCAGGCCTGTGTTGGAATCAACCATACCTGCATGCCTTCCAGCAGATGTTTGCATAACCCTTTTTTAAAATTCCAGATGATGCAGATTCCAGAATATCCCCCCAGGCAATGTGCTTCAGTGTTGAACTACTGTTAGTTTCCTCTCCCCAACATCTAACCCAAATACTCCTCCCTGCAATTTAAGCCTGCAACTTCCTATCTTTTCCACAACAGACATGGAAAACAGATTCCCTTCCTCTATGCAGCAGTCTTTCATGTAGGTAAAGACTGTTATGTCTCCTGTCACTTTTCTCTTCTCTAGACTAAACAACCATTATTTTTTTCCAATCTTTCCTTGCACTCCAGGCTTTCTAGAGCTGATCACTCCTGCAGAATGACTTTGGGCTCTCTCCAACTGGTCTGTTCAGTTATCAACTGGAAAACTCATTGTATGAATTATCTCAACTTGGCCACTTGGCAGAACAGATTTTGCTAAAATAAACTGAACACTTTACTCTTTGCCATCTCAGATCTGAGTTTTGAGCAGGAAGTCAGACTCTGAATAGCTGTTGAGCAACTGCAAGGATTTTAGGAGTTAGAGCAGTCTGGGAAACGATCACCCCTTTCTCTGACAGGAATTCACTGTGAGGCCAGCACTTCTCCACTGTGGTGCCAAGTAAAACTGACAATTTAAGCAACTCTGTTGGCCACACAGGTGGTACCCGAGGGCCCTGTACCTGGGTATTTGTGCAAGGAAATGGCCGTCTTCTGAGGGCAAAGCTTCTCTCACCCTGTAACTCCACCACGGTGTGAAGGAGGGAAGACTCTGTGACCCTTCCTGAGGGGGAAGAGTCCCCTGCAAGGGTGCTGGGAGGGAAGGGTGGTTGCTGCAGGGGCTCGCTGCCCTGTGGCAGGAGCTGAGGGGCTGTAGGGGGCAAAGCCCCAGCTGGGGATGGGCTGATGACAATACCTGGGCCGGCGGCCTCCTGGGGATGAAACTCCTCCTGTGCTGTGGGCAGGAACATCGTGGGGGGGTGGGTTTGCAGAGGAAGAGGGATGACACCACCTGGTAGCCAGAACTGTGCTTTGCCTCTGCCTGCAGAGGGGGGGTGTTTTGCCCCCATGCGTGACCAGCACCACCTGCCACCCTGCCTCAGGCAGGCAGGCCTCCAGCTGCTGGCACCCAGCCTGCCTGCCTCCAGGTGCTGCAGGGCCGCCCCCTGGGGCGCCGGTGGCGGCCTCCATGGCTGCTCCCCGCTGGGGAGGGGGGTGCAGGGCTCAGAGCCCTGGGGGCCACAGCGGTGGCGTGGTGTGTTTTAATGGCCAGTAGGCACTTTGCCAGGGAGCCGGCGGTGGCCTCTGCTGCTGAAAGGAGGTGTCCGTGTGAGCAGCTTGTTCAGTGGCGGCGGGTCACTGTGGACTGGTGAGCTTTGGCTTTGAGTGTGACTAGTCCTTCCCTGTGGAGACGGTGGCCTGTGCCATCCCTTCCCTCTCTGGTTGGTAATGGCATGGAAAATAGCTGGCTTCTGTGCAGGATTTGCACAAAACAAGCTGGAAACTGGGTCAGAAGTCTTTCTGGTTAAACAAATGATGCTTGTCTGGGGGGCCCGTCTGGTTTGTTTTACAGCCTACCCGGTGCTCTTCCCACAAGTGTTAACTAACCTCTCTTCTGTTTCAGTTCTGCCACAGACCCCTGTGAAGATAAACACATTAAAAACAAACTTTCTCCCTCACCAGCTGCAACTTATGACTGTAAAACTTTCACTTGTAGGAATTCAAAAAAGGAAGCTGATTTAAACCTGGCACAGGCTCGTATCAGAGACCTTGATGCTCAGCTGAACGCAAAGGAAGCTGACTTAGCAAGAGCTTTGACTGAGAACCGAAGTCTGGGAGTTGGCCTTCATGAATTAAAGGATCAAGTAGTCACAGTAAGACTTGTTTCTGGAATTTAAACTTTGCTTTTGTTCCTGAAGCTTTTGCTTGTTTTTCCCCAACTAGTTACTGAGATTTAAAAGCAGGGAAAGACAATGGCAATGACAGGTGGACAAAAAGATTTCTGCAATCTTGTTGAAAGCAAATGCTACTGATAGTTGGTCTGTTAAAACCTGCAACTCTTGTAGGTACCTTTAATTCTCTTCTATGACCACAGTATGTAATGTTTCTTGTTCTACGGACAAAGCAAGTTGAAACGTGTTGTACTGCTATAGCCCCTATAGCATTCTCTAACATGTCAGCAAAGGGAGCATTTGATGACCCCTGCTTCACTATGCTTAAATCTAGGTAGAATAAGTAAAATTCTAACTACTTTTTTTGTAGGCTCTTGCGCTACTAAGATTCGAAGAGCGCAGCTTTTCTATCTTTGTGCTTTAGCGTGATCACTGAATAAGCTAACTTCAAATCTTTAGGATGAAAACTTAAAAAAAAAACAAAACCAAAACAACTTGTATTATTAAAGCAACACACGCCAACACTGGAGATGTACAATAGTTTTTCAACATAGGCTGTATTTGAAGGATTTCACTTGTTAAACATCAAACAAATAATACTGGAAGTTAGGGGGAAGTTTGGAATATTCAGTGTTATGAAGGGGAGGAATGTGTATGGATGGTACAACTGATTCATTGGAAATCTACTCTGAGTTGTCAAACTGAGCTGGTGGGATTAAGGGCTGCTCTATGTCTGCCTTGTGGGAAGTCTGGTCTACATAACAATTAAATAGGATTCTTTCTGTTGCTAATATGCTGGATCCCACTGAAATAAGTTGGTTACTCTACTTAAGTTCTTCACTTAAGCAGTGTGTTTTGATTGCTGTAGGAATGAAGTTGCATGACCTGTAATAAGTTGACTGTCTTAGTTTGGAAAAATAACCTCTTAATTTTGATTACCCTGATGTCTGTCTTTTCTAGTTGAAGCTGTCACTGGAAGATACCAAAAAGCATCTCCACAGTGAAATGTTGAGGAGGGTGGACCTGGAAAATCATATGAAAACTTTGCAGGAACAAATGACATTCCAGAAGCGTCTTCACGAAGATGTAAGTTTTAGCTTATTAACAAGGATTTCTTTAGGTGTCTGTGATCCCTGGATGCACTTAAAAGCAATGTTAAGATGTGCTTTATCCTTAAAAAGGTAACTAGCTGAGTCAACCTATGACAGTCCACCAGCCAATAAAATCCACCGAACTAGGAAGTCTTCAAAAAAGTACACAACCTCATGTTAACTGGCATAGTACCAACAGGTATCTGGAATATGACATAATTTTCTCATGCTGCACTTCTGAAGGTAACTACAATCCCAATATACTACTTTGTGTAACTGAAAGTGCATATATTACAGTTAAAGTTAAACGATTCCAGATGTTTGCTAGAAGCCTAAAATAATCGAAGATGTTAAATCTCCTTTAACAAGCAACTTATGTTCCCTACTTCCTTAACACTTATCAAAGGTGTCTGGTAACCTTTGTGCAAGAAGGCAGTACATAGAACTAAAAAACATGTGAATGTAAACCAACTTCCTTCTGGCTGGAAGGATTCTCAAAGTGTGTGATTTAAGCAATAGAGAATTCAAATTTCTCTAACCAACTGCTATTACTTTTTGAATAAAACAAGAATAGGTGAAGTAACAGTAACAGTGCTTAAAGAAACTGAAGTGTATATGCATGTGTTCTAAGTAAAGAGAAGCAGGGAAATCATTCTAGTTCAAAGAATTAGACAAACTACCGCATTTATTAGTTTAAGCAGTGTTGGCAGTGAGGTAGCAAAACAACCCAGTGCAACTAGCAAGGTGGAAGTACCTGACCTAATGGATGAATATCTAAGATCTGAATGAAGATGAATTACTGTGCACTCAATGATAAATCTGCTTCAATACTGAATTACTTGTTAAGCTGGTACAGTTAAGTCCAGTCTCAAATCAAACTGTATTGGCTTGCTTATTCTCTGAGAAATTTCTTCTCCTAGGAGCTCAAGGAGGCAAAAAGAGTCCACGAGAGCAGGATAGCAGAAATAGAATCTGGCCGTCGGAGAGAATTTGAGAGTAAGCTCTTAGATGCTCTGCAGGGGCTCAGAAAACAACAGGAAGAACAAATTAAAGGATACAAAGAGGAGCTGGAGCGAACATTCAGTGCAAAAGTGAGTCTGTAAAAATGCCAATAAAACAAAGCTTAAGCTGCACCTTGATATGGTTAAAGTGACACTAGCATAAATAGCTGGCTGATAGAGCCCTTGCATTCAGTGTAGAGCTTCTTGGCGTAAGTTGTTACAGAATTTCAAAGCAGTGTCAAATTTGACAATAGAACTTCTACAAACACTTGGTCCCAAACAAAACTGGTTCAAGCACAAATACTGTCCCTTTGGGGAGTGTGTAGGAATGGCTAATGTAATAGTTGATCATAATTCAGACTTCTGACAAATCTGAGAGCTTGTCTGACACGTTCAGGACCAAGGTGCGCTATTTTTATTAAGCAATTTCAGTATTGAATAAAACTGGACCTGCTGATTATAGTTTTAATAAAATGCATGAAATAAGGTATTCTTACAGTTCTACAAGAGCACTTTTAAAGGTATGAGTGTAAATGTCCCTTCCCAGTTGCTAGTACTGGATAAGGGGGAGAGGGTGGCTATGGAAGGAGCTTGACTGTGTCCTCCAGAACTGGTCTGTCACCTCTTTCCCAGCATCAGCCACATATGCAGGAAAAAGTAATACTTAGGCTTATACTCTTGATAGGTAACATCCCAGGGGTTTCTGGGTTGGTTGCAGTGTACAGTATTAGTATCTTAAGCCTTCTTTAATACTCAGAAGTACCAGATCATGTGATTCTGCACTGTCAACAAGCACATGTGTTCATTTCTTCCTGGTGGTTCTGGTTTTCTCTATACTCCAAATTATATGCCAACTCAGTGAATTCCTTTGGATGCTTCTGTCCAGGTTTTTGCTGGAAATTGTGTGAGTGCCTCTTGTAGGAGCATAGCTCTACTCTATCCTTTCTTGGAACAGCTCAAGATTGAATTGCTCTAGAAATAGCTTTGTGCTGCTTATAGTGATGCAGGAACTGTTTAGTAATAAACTTTGGGGGAAGAGCAATAGTTTGATAAACACATAATATCCTGTAGGCCCATCCTTTGACAAACAGCTTCTAAACATTCTCCATTGTTCTTCTGGAGAATGAATTTACTTAATATCTATACAAAGTCTTCATGCATCTGTACCTGAAATATCCTAATCCAGCAGTTTTCACTACCTGATTATTGCTGACTTTTTTCTGACATGAATGTCAAACTTGTGTAAACCTTCCTGAAAAGCAATGAAAAACTTTCTGACCTGGACTTTATTGGTATCTGCACACTTAAGTGAAACATAACTATTTCCAGATGTAACAGCTGGAAATCACTTGGGTTTCCATCCTTATTTAAAATACATGGTCACAAGCAACTCACTACTAACAGTGACTTATCCATAGATGGAGAATGCCCAGCTATCTGCAGCAAGAAATAGTGACTTTGCCAATGCTGCTCGGGAGGAACTGATGGAAACAAAGCTGAGAGTTGATACTTTGACGTCTCAAGTTAATCAATATCAAAGCCAGGTACTATCTTTATTTGTATATCCTTAGAATTATTTTAATTTAGATACCCAATTCAAAATATTGGCCTCTCCTCTCTAATCTTCAGTTATGGTTTAATTGATTTTTCCATCATCTTAATTTTAGAATGTTGCTTTGGAGAACAGAATAAAAGAGCTACAGGAGATGCTGGATTATGATCGTGATCTCTATCGAAGGCATATGGCTGAAAAAGAGAAAGAAATAGAACAAGCCCAGCAGCAGACACAAGCACAGTTGGAAGAATATGAGCATCTCTTAGATGTGAAACTGGCTCTAGATCTGGAAATAAGTAGCTACAGAAAGATGCTGGAGGGAGAGGAACAGAGGTAGGCTATGACAAAATCTTCATATGAGAACTTGCTTCATCAAAGATCCCTACACTAACTAACCATATATTCTTCAGAATGTGGAGGAGGCAAGAAATAAATGCTATGTCATTAGTGCCATAATAGTTCCTGAAGCAAAATCTTCTGTAGATAGTATTTATATCCTACATCCACCATATGATGTAGTAAGATCAAGTAACTTGATAAACACAACTGATAGAAGTTCAAAGGTCCGTTAGATATCCCTCAACTTTTTCAAAGCTTTATGCTACATCCTAGAGACATATCAGAGTCCTCAAATTTCATGAATGAAACTGGGAAATTGTATCAACTCCCAACTATCCAGATACTGCCTGGTGAGAACAACATGAACTCTCAATACATGCTAAGAAGGGTCAAAGACTTAAACTACTTCCACTAAAGATTGCCTCTGTAGAGACTTTAAAGGAATACTTATTGCAGTTGGGAATCTTCTTTTCCTGACATAAGCTTCCTCTGAACTCTAGGGCTGGGGCTGTCTTCCAAACATAACAAGCTACTTAGCTATTCTTGCCAGTAAAAATAAAATCTTATATTCAAGACTTCATGGAAAGCTTGAATATAAGAAGCTCTTAGGCTTGGCTATAGTGGGAGGATAGGAGTGAGAAGAAATAAGCACATCAGATAGTCAAGTGAATGTTATATGACTCCCTTCTAGGCTAAAGCTGTCACCCAGTCCATCTTCACACAGCACTGCAACTCAAGCAACAAGTCAAGGGCGACGGTTCCTACATGGGAAGAAAAGGAAAATGAAAGAAGCTAAAGAGAGAGGCCATAGTGCTGGATTTAAGACTGTTCATCATGCTTCATCTTCTGGAAATGTATCTATTGAAGAAATTGATGCAGCTGGGAAATTTGTCAGGCTTAAAAACAACTCTGATGAGGTACATTCAAGTCTGCATGGCCTCCCTTGCAAAGTATGACTGCTTGTGAACCAACTTGTAGCTTAGTCAGAGATGACAACAGGGAAGAATGAAGAGATGAGGGAAGAGTACTGCCAAAAAAATGCAAAGTGGGGACTTCTCAGCTAACCTGGCTGCTGTGAAGAGAAGACTAGAGACTTTTTTTTTGGGGGGGGGGGGTACTGCAGGTGTTTTTTTTCATGGGGCTGTCTGGGAGGTGCTTTTGAGGGGAGGTGCACTGGGTTCTATGATGCAGAAATCTAACACCTTCAGTTGTTTCTCATCAGGTTCAGGCTAGCACCATCAGAAGTACTACTTATCCTCGATTAACTAAATAAGGTACTTAGTAAATTGGTTAATGACAGCTTCTTATTACTTAAATTCTTAAAACAGCTGACAGTATCTAATCTATACAGAGGGTTTATCTGACCAGCTACATAATTCTTTGACTAGTTTAGTCTGCAAATCCAGAATTATTTGAATTAATTCTCAGAGCTTCAAAACTTGTGGCTGGTAGCTTAGCCACTTCAGCCTGAGATGCCTTAAACCTTCACAGGCTTCTATGTATGTGTTGTATATATGGCCCAAGTTGGTAGATGGGCATGACAAACTTCATTTATCAGAATCTCTCTGGTAAAGAGCATCATGATCCCCCTTGAACAGAAGGCAAGAATAGGTGTGCCTAAACTTGTGGGACTAAGATTAATTCTAAGGAAGAACAGGGAGAAATCATAGGGAGGCTTTAATGGAAACTTGAAGGCTTCCTCAAAATTGATCAGATTCTTGTATGCTACAGGAGTGGGACTAAAACTGACCCTTGAGTCTGAAAGAACCTTGCACTTGTATGATGTGGTATTGGTCTATAATGCTAAGAGAAATTTCTTGTCCCACAGGATCAGCCACTACATGGATGGGTGTTAAGACGACATCTCGGAAGTGTGTCAGATGTAACATATAAATTTCCTTCACTGTTCACTCTTCAGGCAGGCCAAGTAGTTACAGTATGTAGTGGTTTTGTAAAACTTACTCGGAGGTCTGTTCTTATGTTAGATGGCAATAGAGATTCATGTAATAAGGAAAACTAAATTGACACTGCAAGTCCCTAAAACACTGAAATCCTTATTTTATGTGGAGAGGGAGATGGGAAAAATCCTTGCAGTGACTTGATCTTAAATGCCAATTAAATTTTCTTTAAAGCTAGATCTTGGACTGAACTTGGATCATCCCAGATTGGGACATGCTGTTATTGTGAACAGAATCAATATATTCTAATTTATTCTTAGGGTTCCCCATACTCCTGTGATTTGATAAAAGTTGTGCAAAGACTTATACTGTTGCTAAAAGCTTTACTCCACTACAGTTCAGCAATGCTGAGCTCACCATTTATGGTACTAAGCTAGATTTTAACTCTAAAATCATACTCCAAGTACATTTAGATAGTGATCAAAGCCTAACTCTACAGTCTGTACTTCCAGACTGCATGAGCTTGCTCAAGAGATCTGTGAGTGACCCCAAGCTAGGGGCTATCTTGTATACACAAACTGCTGATAGGAATATGTCTGTAACTCTGGCTTGGCTCTGTAAATCAAATGGTATGCATGTCCAAGCAAGGCTACCTCTACATCAGGCAGAAGCTGTTAACAGCCTTTTCTATACTGCTTTACAGTCTTCTGTTTAAAAAAAACCAAAACAAACAAACAAAAAAAAACCCAAAACCAAAAAAACCCCAAACCTCCCCCCCCCAAAAAACCATTACCACTGTTGTTGGTAGTCCTGGAAGAACTAATCTGCCAGGGATCACAGTAGTCCAGTTTGTGTTACTGGACATCTTTTGTATTGGAGTACTTAATAGTTACATATGTTAGACTAAATCCTAATCTAACTATAAATAAGATTCTTCAGAAGCTCACTCTGAATCTGTTGCAGATCTGGGGTGCAGCTGCTGGCGTAAGCCCAGGTCCTAGTGATCTGGTCTGGAAGTCTCAGATGTCTTGGGGAACTGGGGATAGTATTGGTGTTACACTCATCACAGATGATGGTGAGGTAAGTGAGATAGTAAATAGTTTTTACTCTCCTAATACTAAACTTGTTTGATGTGCTTAATTCTTGAGGGTTCTTGGTGGCAAGTCAATTGTATTTTAGGAACTTGCAGAGAGGAAGATAATGCATGTACCCAGAGCAGAAGAAAGCAGTGAGCAAGATGATGATTATGAAGAAATAACTGGAAGTGAAATAGAGTTTCCATCTCGGGTAAGCTGCCTGAAGTTTAAATACATGCTATCAACAGTCTCGTTCAATTTCTTTTCATTACTGTATGAAAATACTTTCCCAAGTACTATCTGTATCCTACAACTCCTAACATTTTTCTTGATGTCAGACCAAAAGAAGAAGAAAAAAGAAATGTTGTTTGGTTTCATGATAGTGGTTCCTGTGAGCATCCTTAAGCAGGTGAGATGGTGAGAATCATGCTTGTCATCTCATAGTAAAACTTGCTTCATTAATACTGCTGCAGCCTATTGTCCCACGTAGGATATAGCTTGCATGGCTTTGCATCAGAAGTGGACTGATGTTTTGCTTATTCTCTGCTTGAACATGATCAAATAGTAGCATTAATTGTTTGGTCTCTTATTACTGACACACAGAAAAATACTGGCTTTAATGTCTGTTCCATCTAAACATGTGACTACGAATAAACTTAAAAGCTGTTAACCCAAGAACAGAATGCAAACACTTACTACAAATATCTTATTTCTGTGGGATGAAGTGACTTACCTGACACTCCAAACAGTGTCCCTGACTTAAATTCACACTGAAGAAATATAATATTTCCATTCAAAAAGTTTTAAGAGGCTGAAATCAAAGTTCTTGGTGTATTGATTGTGTAAGTTCCTCTTAAATTGAGGCATGAGTTTGAAGCACTTCTGTTACAGCTTATTCCAGGAACTACTTTTTCTTATTTTGCTGTGCAAAAATAGTATCTTAGCTGTGCTTCAGTTACAAATACTACCTTCAGTACTTTCCAAGTGAAACTTCAGCACAGATGCAGGTCATGCTAATGGAATTAATGTAGTTAAATAGAATGTTTTGTGTTCAATATACTTATAACCCTTTGCATTACTCACAACTTGCACATTGTAATGCCCTGTGAAAGACACTCTAGCCCCTCCAAATGGCTTTTGACTGACAATATTACAAGTCTGAACTGCTGCACATTGGATGCTTCTAGTGTACTTTGATATACTAGTAGTCAGGTATCTTTAATTGCTGAAGTAGTCTAAACCAGAACTAATACAAGGGCTTTAAAATGGTCATAACTGAACAATTACAGACTGTACTTGACTCTGGAGTTGGTTTGTTTCTTGACTTGAAATAGCACCAAGTCCCCTTTGTTAGTACAAACTCCAAGGCCCTAAGTGCAAGGGGATGCCTAGCTAAAAATTCATTCTCTCCCTCCTGCTGAAACAGCATGTTGAGCTACCACAGCTCTTCCTAAAACTGATCCTACACAGGTTACAAGGAGGACTTGCTTCTTACTGCACCAGGTCTTAAAGCCACCACCATTTCCTAGATATTTTCATAATATACCTGTCTGAAAACTTAAAAGTACGTTGGTACTGTCTTAAGAAAATGTACCTAGGAACAGGCAGTTACTGCCTGCTGCTTGGTTCTTCTCCTTGTTCCTGCTTTCAAACAAGAATATCTGGGTAAATATCTATTACTATAATACCATCTGGCTTAAAGGATGTTTATCAAAGTCTCCTGACTTACATGCATGTTCTTGTAATATTTTCAGTCTCTCACTGAAGAAGGCTGAGTGAGACCCTGTTAAATAGGCTATTGAGAATGGTTCTATAATGCTATTCTGGCCTTTGGACTCTTAATGCACAGCATACACCAAAATGGTTGAAGTAACACCAGTGGAGCTTTAGGCTGATGAAGACACTTACTGATACAAGCTTCTCTTCATGTTCAGAGTAGGGCCTCTCCTCAAGGTGTGGGTTTTCTTTAAGGCTCTTTATTTGAATTGACTAAAATATGGCTTGTTTAGCAATCAGTGATGGAAAGCGGAATTAACTTTTTTCCTTACACCTCTAATCTGTTTTATCAGCAACTTTACAATACAGTTGTGTGCCATTTATGGTAAGAATCAATTCTAATACTCCCACTCAAACATTAATGTCATTCCTGTCTGCTGAATTTCTATCAAACTCTTGTCAGTAGTATCTATATGCTTCTGCTGCATTGGTAGTACTGAAATAATGGCAGCTTAGTGAAACACAGTTAACTTCTTGCATGCAGTAAAATGATGTAAAGAAAGCATGCTGTGCTTTAAGGGAAGGCAGGGTTTCCGTGGATTTTGCTTCTGCTTTTACCATCCTAACCAGGGTAGCATGAATCTGCATGCCAGTGAAGTTTTGATATTTCAGAACAGAGGTACTGATAGCCTGATAGCTTTTCATTAAGAAAGGCATAGGCTCATGTATTGCATGGACTCAAATTCTTAAAAGCCTGTGTTCTTTTTTCCCCCCACCCTCAAACCATCTAGTATAGTTAAGGTACTGCCTCCCCTGAAAACCTGCTTTGCTTTATTAATATGTAACTAAATCTACAAAAACACTAAAACCCCCATATGCCTACCTGAGGTTTGAATAGGTAACCAGCAATAAATGCTAAGTTTGTACACATGCTGATTAGCCTAATGTCTTCATGTTTTATTTCTGCAGCAAAATGAGGATCCTAGCTGTTATATCATGTAATGTGGACAAAGAGACGATAATCTGAAAAAACTTCTCAATACCAGGTGACATAGACTATATGTGTTTTGGTATCTTCTGCAATATCTGAAACTTGGAATTCATATCTCCTATTTGACCTCTTTGTAAGAAACACTGCCCATAACATGATGAAATTTCCTACCTTCTGATACTGGACCCTGTCCTTGGATTCACTGATAGAAAGAGCAGTAGAATATAAGCTCCATGTGAAGTTATTTTTACTTTAACACAAGGATCTGGTTTCCATGACCTGCTGAAACAGAGGAGAGTACACAGTTTACAGAGCTTCTAAACATATGCCCTAGAAGGATGCTAAATACTTGACAATGAGCATGAGGCTGCCTCAGCTTTCTCAATATTCCAATATGGTTTCTCCAAAGGTAATTTCTGTTTCAAGCCTGAGTGGGGAAACTACATGGGCCAGATCACACCCTAGCTTGCACCTTGAGCAAGTCTGAACTTGGCGGAAGTAAAACACTATCTTGAAGAGTGCTGAGTGTCTGAAATGTTTCCTGCTCAGATCCTGATGCTGTAATATCTGAAACTGGTCTAGATCACTTGCTAGAGAGAGACATTTTAAAATTAAAAGCAAGTTGTAAAAATGTTCTTGTCTCTTATTAAATGTACTGTTTCTGTATTCTAGCACCTGGAAATCCACCAGTTTCAGTACTGTATATTCCTAGATACACTATATCACAGCATAGCTGTGTCAGCCTTAACTTGGACAGATGTATCTCGTAAATGTGAAAAAGCATCTCATTCCAACAGAGAAGGTACTGTAACTAGCAATATTAGTACTGTGGTCCCAACAAGCCAGCTTTCTAGGGCTAGAAAAACATGCTGAAACAAAAATCAGAACTAGAAAGCACCAACTGTAGTAAAAGGTGCATCAAAAACATCTGCTCTTGGAATCCTTGTGTCCTAAATCTCTGTGCAGTCTGCAGTACTGCTTTGTGTATGTCTAATGGAACAGTTGGGGGAATACTGTATTGGCCAGTATGTAATTTACTGTAACTTGAATAGCTCTGTAGTCCATGTAAAGCGTGACCTATAACCCTCAAACTAGGCAGTTGGCCTTTGGGGCCACTGCATTCAGTTATTTTTAACCTCTTTTTACTAAAGTGCTTACCTGCTGTCTCTATGGTAAAGGGCCTTGATGAGCCACATAAAGTACACTCTTCTTTAAGAGTATGAGGGAAGGGGAGCAGCTGAGAATGCAGATTTCTCCAAATGCTGCCTCTTACCTTGCCAAAGTATTCAGTTCTGAATTTAAGACCTGTTCTGTCTTAGGATGCAGTTGTTAAGGTGAGGCTTTCCTTATACTAGCTTAAACTCTCAAGTTATTTAAAAAGTCTAGTTTTGACATGTGAAGAGTAGATGCTGGTTTAATACTTGCGTTTTAACAGATCTGAATTCCTGTTGTACCTTATGGCCCACATAGAAATAGCTGCTGCTACAACCTTGCTATCTTGATTTCTTAAACTTTTTTAACTATTAAAGATATTTTTTCATGTATATAAAAGCAGTCTTGTACTTTAATATTTGCAGATTAAATAATAAAGAAGTTCTTTGTTCATTGATCTTAGAGTAGCTCAAAAGACTTTGAAGTAATAAAATAAGTGAGTTTAGGGAAGATTCCCTGCAGATTGAAGAAACCTTCAGAAATAGTATGCTGCCCTGTGTATTTGAAGAACTGAGTGATAAATATAAAGCTAAACTGCTATGAACTTAAGAGGAATTATCACTATTTCAAATGAAACCTTTTTGTAGCACAAGGGAAGGATGGTATTAAGCAACAACCATGAAAGATTTGAATTAGTGTACAAGTCTTGATAGGAAATAGCAGTGGTACAGGATGTTGTTTGGTAACGCCATCAGTGGTCCAGGAAACAAGATCTACTTTTATTTACTCAACTACAGAACCTACATGACAGTGTATTAAACTTGTTCTTAGCATACAATCTTAAAAAGGCACATATTAATTGACTCTCTGATGTGCAACAGATCCTATTGTGCAAATTGTCTTTCTGGTAGCAAACCTTAAAGATGGTTGGGTTGGTTTCCTATGACCTCTCTCTATACTTTGCCCTAATCAGTAACAGTATAGCTCTCTTGACTGGCTTTCAGCTTACAACTTTTGCAATAGCTACTTCTGTTAGATGAGACGTCTACTGCACCTGACTAGGAGCTCTATACTAAATGGCAACTGCCTACTGCAAAGTATATTGAGAATTCAAACCTTTATGTATATATCTGTGTGTGTATGCACACATGTGCATATGCAATTCTTTAGGGAATTCTGGTGAGCTGAAAGATTTCAGTGCCTCTTTTTTTCCCTGCTATGGAAAGGTATGACTGGTGAGACCTCTGATAAAGTTGGGGGAAAAGCAAAAGCAGCTGTGAATCCCAAATACTTAAACCTTTGAAAGTTGTCCCATACCTTTTTATATTCAGAACATCATAGCTACTTTCATGGAAAAACTAGATCAGGACAAGTTGCTTTCCCTGCTGCTGTTCTAATAACTACTAGCTACTTGCCCATGAATTTCAAAAGGGGCTGACGAATTTTCTTCTTTAGATGAGTAAGTCTGAATTCTGAGATTATGTGTCCTAAGTAGAAGGCAGTAGCCAAAGCTGCAAAGAATAACCCTGTACTTACAACCATTGTGCAAGCTGAGGCCAGAGATGAGAGAAACCAGAAAGCCATGGTTTTGAGAGCCAGTTAGAGGCTATTTATCCTTCTTAGATGGAAAAGTTACTGCACCTGTGATACACATGAAATTCTTTCCTCTTGTGCTGGTTTTGCCTGCTGATGGGAAGTGAATGAAATCCTTATTTTGGTTTGCTTGCGCACACAGCTTTTGCTTTACCTATTAAACTGTCTTTATCTCAGCCCATGAGTTTTCTCACTTTTACCCTTCCATTTCTCTCCCCCATCCCACTGGAGGGGAGTGAGTGAGCAGCTGTGTGGTGCTTAGCTGCTCACTGGGGTTAAACCACAACACTGCTCTAGGGAATGCTCTTTCAACTGGACTACAGAACCAAGTAGAGCTTGAACATCTGAACCTGGATTCAAGCCAGTCTGCCCATAAAGAGTTCAGCTCCCCTCTCATCACTCTGTCTTGTACAGAGAGCAACTGGCAAAAGATTACATGTTCCCCTGAGGCTGCTGAGTTTTTTGTTCGTTACTACATCTGCCTTTACTAAGCAAAGCAGAAGGCTAACAGAAAAGCAAATTAATTCTATCTTCATTTTAGTAGTGCTTAAGATGCCTGAGTCTGTCTGTCCTTCATTTTGAAGCTTCTTTTTGCATATTTTTAGTTAAGTTTAGTTTTAGTTAAGTTCCCTTTCCACTTAGTCTTCTCTTTTTCCTCCATATCCACCCCTTTCATATAAATATAAAAAGTAGAAGTGTATTGACTTTTCATTTGTTTGCAGTAGTCAGCAGTGATACTCACCTATTTATCTCAATGGAGTTCTATACAAACCCTGTGGAGCTAGGATCAGTTTGTACTTAGTTCAAAGGAATTTTTCTCTTATCCTCCTGCTAGAAGAAAATTTTAACAGACATTATAAAGGCTACACAGTCAGTAGGGAGAGAACAAGATTATTAAAATTCCAGTGGCTGAGGTGTCATAAAACTACTACTTAGGCTTTATTCATGCATTTTTAATTTAGCAAGTGACCCCCAGCTCAAAAACAAATGCCAGTACTATAGGAATAGAAGCAGCAACCACTGTTCTTATCCCACAGAAATATTTATTCAGTTTGGTCAGTAAATTATAGGAATTTCAATGCTGAGAACTTGTACTTAGTACAACAACATCATAATATTGACAACAACCACTTTGCCTTTTGTCAACATACAATGTGAAACATGGATTAACTTGCTCACAATAAATTACAGTGTGGTGGATGAAGAGAGCTCAGTGACATCAGTAACTTAGGAACTGGTTACAGTTAGCTTCACTTACAGTATTTTTAAAAATGGTTTTCAATAGTAAAATCATTGCAGCCAAAGATTAAAAAAAAAAATCCACATACAATAGTAGCAAGGAAATGCATTTTTGGAGCAACAGTGAGCTACCAGTAAACACTTCATACAGTGATCTTCAAGGCACAAAGCAAAAAAACTGGGTATGGGTTTTTTTGCAGGTTGATGAGTCAGGGAAGGTGAAACTTTTTTGAATATAAAATAAATACATTTTAAAAAGACGCATACAAAAGTCAGTAAGTCAGTCAAATAGCAAGGCTTTCACAGAATGCCACACTGACAGAACATTTGTGAATCCATTTCAGTCATGAAATCATGTTCACAGCTTGAATGACACAATCACTGAGGCAAGGGAACCATCACTTCAACGTAATTAATGGGGAAGAAGCCAGACTCTCCATTTAACATCCCCTCATACCAATTCTCATCAATCTGATTGGTCAAAGTTATGATGTCCCCTTCCTTAAACCCAAGCTCGCCTTCATTTTCTGGCTCAAAGTCATAGAGAGCTTGGCAGCAAGGCTGATCCATGTGCATTGAAGAACCTGCCCCCAGTGACAGAAAAAACACACCACATTAATAGAGCTTCACAGCATCCTATCAGCCACCAAGCATAAAACAATGGGTCAAAAAACAGAGCCCTGCTGCCATGAATTCTTCCCAACAGTTTTTCCATTGCTTTCACCCACTAACATCTGGTGCTTCTACATATAAAAAAAATAATACTAGTGATAATTAGTTTAAAGCATAATTCTGTTTCTCCCTTAAGTTCAGATACTACTTACTCTATTTTCATTCCTAGTTGCCTTCCCTTTTGAAAGGATGTTTACCTCAAACTGATAGTTTCAGTAATCACAGTTGTCAAAAGCAGTGTGGTCTCTTTGGAGTGGTGGCTAGAGGAATTGGAAGGGTAGGAGTTGAGGGAGTAGAAGAGTAGACAGGAGAAGTGACAAGTAATCATTAAAACAAATGGCACTGCAGCACACTGCTACTGCACGAATACCTACCAGAGGGCAGGGGCTCACAGCCAGTCCTACACGCACACTTACAGCCTGCAGGCAGCCTCCTGGATGTTTATGCTACGTGTGTGTTTGCAGGAGGAAAGGGAACCATCAGCCACTCCAGCCACTCCTGTGTTAAGGCTTCCACCCTCACCTCACTTGAGCAGTGACAGTCATTTCTGGGTTACTGCTCCCCAAGTTCATGTGTTCAAATCCTTTGTTGTACACATCCATCTGAACTAAAGCAGAGGTTATGCTAGGAACAATGGTGCCTGTCAAACTATTTTACAGATGAAAACAGTTTTCTGATGCAGTATCTGGCTGTTCTTGTGACTTATGCTGTTCGCCCTGCTATAAAGATCTTCATTCCAAATTACTCTTTTAAAATATTGATGGTACCATATGCAAACATAATAGTAAGTACATACATTTACAGGAAAGCAAGTAAATATAAATTAAAGTACAAAACAGAATCACCCTTAGCAAAAGAAGTTAAGCTTGTAAATGCAGTCACCTTTTTAAAAGATATTCTCAGGAAGGGGTGTTATTTGGCTTGGATTTGTGGTATGGATACATATGTAATATATTCATTCATATTTATGAATAATAACTGGTTCTAATAAAATGTAATCTAATGTTCAAATTGTAAAGCTTAGCTCTGTGGCCAAGGACTAGCCAGAGGTTCAACTGAAGTTCAGCCATAACAGATTTCTAAAAACATGTAAAGCATATCCAAGTAAAAGTCTGGTAATTTGATGTATATTTATAAAGGAAGAATAGGAGAAAAGATTTCATGCTGCTGCCATATAAACAGTAGTAAAACACACTGTAGCATGACAACTCTAGAAC